TCACGGTCACTCTTTTGTCAAGCATATAATCCACATCATAAACACAGAAAAGTCATTATCAATGTCATCGTCTCCATATAATGAGATCTCCAGTCAAAATTAAATAACGTTAAAATGGATTAATAATTTTGAAAATTTTCGTTAGAGCTTCTAATGAGCATTACATACGTGATAGCAAAATAGTTTGCACGTGATGTAATGCCCAATCAATGAGAGTAAATTAAAAATATCTTAGCTCATGAATTTGACTTAAAGTTCCCATGATGTGTGTAATAGGTGTAGCTAAAATTTTAGGGATTTGACTGGCTGACTTAAATATATGTTTAAGAGGACCACTCAATTAATGCGTAATGAATAGAGCAATTTTGATCATGTCACATTACTCACATACCATGTGAGAGAGAAGGACTCTTCATATAGTTTTTTTAAGTAAGGTGGCCAAATTTGTAGTGTACCGTTTCAGAGTAGTCAATCCAAATAATGTGTAAGTTAACCAACCCAATAATTAATGACTTGTTTAGGTTAAGATTAATCTTTCAATATATATCACTCATTATAGCTGATTTAATTAGCAAGTTAAAATCACTTTAAATCATAAGCTCATAAAACGTACACTTGTTTTAGTTTTTATCTTGCAAATCAATGTTGAGAGACATACATATAAAGTGCAAAACAATTGTTAAATGTTAGTATAGATGGAGGGTGAGACTTGATCGACTTGATAAGTTACTTTGAAGGCATTGAAGCACTGATTGTTGCATGGAATTATCGAAAACTCTCTCGATTATGAAATGATAATTAATAATTAGTCATACAAATTATCAATTTATTGTAATAAGTTGTAGTGTGAATAGTAAATGTGATATCATATTCATCAAAATCAGAGTGCATTGTATGATCGATCATATTCAAACATGAATAGTGGATGATAAAAGGAAACAGGAAAAATATACTAATAATCAAATATGAAAAGTATTTTGTGGATATTCATTTAACTATATTATCATAAAAATTATTTATATATTAATTTTACAATTTAATATTAACACATTGTTGGGATATATTATCCCGGCCTATTACTGTTCAGGAGCCCAAGACATTATCCAGTACGGAGCCCGAGCAGCTAGGCCCATTTCGGCCCATCCGGCCCACTTTGACCACCAGGCCCACTTCGGCCCATGCGGCCCATTAGGGTGGAGAGCCTCCCCTTCCCCTCCCCTATAAATACGGAGCTTAGCCTCCATGTAAAGGATCTTTTCTTCTTCCTCCTTCTCACTAGAGTAGCTTAGAACTCCATCAATGGGAGATTCAATATTTGTACAATGTAATGGTGAGGAGAGATTAATGAGAATTGAGAGGGCTTGGACATTAGCCTAAAAAGTCCCGTGGTTTTCTCCCTTTCGGGTTTCCACGTAAAAACTGAGCTTGTTCATACACATTTATACATATATTTACTATATCGTGTTGGATTAAACTCAACACACATATTTCATTTTAACTATATACTCATTAGTTATAAGTTAAAATACTCGGTTGTACCGTGTGTATGGTACAAACGGTTGTACCATATAAATGTAAAAAGGCATAAATAATTCTTTTCTAGTTTTATCTTAATCATTTTTTTCATTCATTCTAAACAAATTTCAATTTCTTTTTTATGACATATAATTTGTGAATTATGATTCATACTCCCTCTGTCCCAATATAAAAGGCACACTTTCCTTTTCGGTCCGTCCCAATATAAAAGGCACATTTCCCTTTTTGGCAAACAAAACAGTGCCAAACAGTGCCAAACAGTGTCCAAACAGTGCCAAACAGTGTCTAAACAGTGTCAAACAGTGTTCAAACAGTGTTCACCTTTAAAAACTCCCCAAACGCAAATGTGCCTTTTATATTGGGACGGAGGGAGTATTATTTTCCTCTCCTCTACAAAATTATCCACCACACAATTTTCATTATCTTATGATGTTTTTGTTTGGATTGTAATCTTCTACTCTTGTCTAGTCTGATACGATCGATCTAATTCGATTTGTAATCTTCTACTCTTGTCTAGTCTGATACGATCGATCTAATTCAATTTGTTTAAACCAGATATGTTCTTGAGTGGTTTGGTCTGGTGAATGTATGTTCTATGTATATTTTACAACTCTCGAATTATCTGATCTAGTCTTGTATGTTTAAGTATGAGTTGGTCTAGACAATGGGTCCAGTTAGAAAGTACCTGCAAAATCAATGGAAAAGGGAGTAATATTACTCTATGAAAGGACGAATACTAGGTATTGATCAGTAGGGGTGCAGTACTGTAATAATAAGTTCCTAATTATACACGTATTTATAATTATTAAAATTATATTTTTGTATTTGACTATGACAGTATTATTTCATAAATAATTGAGGGACAATGTATTAATTTATGGTGGGTATTGTGCTCCGTGTATATTGATAAACTTTTTTACAAGTTCATGTGTAGTGTACTCCATAAAAATGCTCTTAGACTTGCACTGATTTTCATGATTCATATAGTTTTTGCTTATTATAAAAATTAAGAAGAGCGGGGTAGAATGACTGAATGAATATAAAGAAATCAAATAAGTGTTGGGGCTACCTCGGAATAGATTATAGACCAGATTTCCAATACACCTAAGGCTATGTTTGGCACAACGAGCTGGAGCTGGGGGCTAATGTCTGAATTCGAGACTGTTCTTTGAATCAGAGACTATTGTCTGAAGTTGAATTGTGAAGTGCTGAATCTGAATTTTGAGTTGAATGAAATAGACCCGTTTGGCAAAAAGAACTGAAAAAGTGTTTGGATATAACAAATTACAATAAAGGACACTTTATTTAATTCTTCAATATTCTACTTCGATGACATTATTAAAAATATAAATAGAAATACTCATAACAATTTGACTCAAAGACAAATAAATTTCAATACCGAACTGAATTTTCGGATCCATTGATTAACGTGGGGAATACATATAACATAGTACATACATGTATTGATTTAATAACCAATTTAGAATATTTTTCAATTATTGATTGAATCCTTTCAAAAAATATTTTTTTATTGAAAAAGATATTTTCAACTACTCCGTAATCGTATATTTCATGGAGTTGGCGTGTGTAACTGTGTATCCATAAAAAAGCATCAAAAGGAAGTTCAAACAGAGCATAGTTTGCTATGAGCAGGGCCGGTCCCAAAGAAATGTAGACCCTGTGCGGGAATAAAATTTGGGCCTTTTTTCAAGTTGCAACACAAGCAAATTGTCTTAAAATACAACTTACGAATAAACATAATGATAAAAATAGTCATTAATAACTTACAATTTATTTAAAAAGGGATATTCTTCAAGCATATTTAAATTTACACAGAAGATTTTGGGCTGGGGTATAATATTAATTTTTTTTTTTGGGCCCTACAAAAATCCGGGCCCTGTGCGGTCGCACTTGGCAAACATGCCCAGGGCCGGCCCTGGCTATGAGCTCGAAGTGAAATTGTTAAGACCTGGGGTTTCATCTAGGGGTGGACTCGGGCCGGGCGGTCCGACCCGGAACCGGCCCGGCCCGGACCGGCCCGGGGCCCGGTTGGTCCAGCCTGGCCCGGGTGATGGGCGGTCCGGGCTCGGGCCCTGCTTTAGGCGAACCGGCCCGGCCGGGTCCGGGCCAGATTTTAATTTTTTTTTTTAATTTTTTTTAAGTTTTGGGTTGGATTAGGTATTTTGGGCCATTTGAGGTGGTTTGGGGTGGTTTGGGGTTGAGGGGGAGGGGGTTAAATAGGAGAACCAAAAAAAAAATGGACCGGTTTGGCCCGGCCCGGAACCGGCCACCGGCGGTTCGGGCTAGGGCCCCAGTTTTCTGGCCCGAGGCACGGCCGGGCCCGAACCGGCCCGAGTCCAGCCATAGTTTCATCCTAAAAGGTCAACCTGACAGGAGGAGTAGCCCATGTGTTAATATAACACTTTGTTCATCCATACTTTTCTGGTGTGGGACATTTAACACCCCTCCTCACGACCAAACACTTCATCTGGATCGTGTCATCATTCATTTTTTTTCATCGGTCCGTTTTTTTCATCCGGCCGTTTTTTTATATCGTGTCATCATTTTTCATAAGGGGCCCCACACCATGGATCGATTTGGCTCTGGTACCATGTTAAGGCCTGGGGTTCCATCCTAAAAGGTCAACCTGATAAGAGGAGTAGCCCATGTGTTAATATAGCACTTTGTTCATCCAAACTTTTCCGGTGTGGGACATTTAACAGAAATTCAATTTTTGTATGGCTAGGTACAAAGAAGCGATTGTTAGTGAAGATTCACGGAGGATGGGATTATAGCAGTGATAAAATCAAGCAAAAAAAACTGCAGCGGAAAAGGAGCGATGTGTGCACTGCAGCAGACGAACCAAAGTAGATGAAAAGAAGATCGTAGATACGTAGGGTTATTTCCGAAACACGAGTGTAATCTAGGATCGGCTGAACACAAACGTTTGGAACAATAACTTTGTATTTCAGCTCTACTTTTTTCAATTAAGCTTGGTGTAACCGTTTTGCCAAACATGTCTACTTTTAAAATTATTGACCGAATTGAAAAAATTTCAGCCCATTATGAGCTGAAATGGTGTGACAAACATAGTCTAAGATGGGCGATTCCACGTTTTGACTAGGGTTGAAAGTATGGAGTACTAAATATTTTATATTATTTATCGTTATAATGATTTCTTAGCATTAATCAAAACGCAATTAGTTCAAAACCAAGGTTAGAAATATCTCAAAGGTAAGCTGCAAACTACATAAGGCAGTTTTTGTGCTGAGTTAACAACTTCGCAAACCCACAGTCTCCACTTTGTAAAATTGAAATGTCATTCTGGTAAAATTGAAATATAGAACCATTGAAGCAGGATGGCAGCAATGCTATAAAATGTGACGGATAATAATCTAATTTAAACTAAGGAGCAAGGCATAACAAAATTATAATAATGACCTAGTAACAATCAGCTGATAATTAAATTTAATTAATAATATTTCACTGTCAATACAAAGCCCAAAAGAAACGCATCAGCTAACAAAATTCATCTGGAGTTTCTTCAGAAAATAAAATGCTAAGCTACAGGACTCCTGAAAATAAACAAAAAGGGCCAAAAAAAAGTGCCGCAATTATGTAGGACAACACTTCAATGTGGGGTGGGGAGCTAATGGGCTATACACAGTGAAAAATAAAAGTTCGATGCTAAGATAATAGAGACAACATGGGAGTGTTATAATTTACCTACTCAATATTTTTCAACTTTTCTAGCTTAGCATTTTAATAGCGCGCAAAACTGTTTTCTCCATCGGAGGGCCTCTCAGAGCATGGGAACTTGCAGAACCGTTCGAATTTCCAAAGATGAAAATCAATCAAGCAAAGGGAGATTCAGATAAAAACTTCTTCAGTGCCTCGTACGTCATGAAAACAATTCCCACACCAGGGACAACTTTGTAGTACTCGGGCATAATCCCTCTATAAAACCCTCGGAAACCTTCGGTTCGAATTATGTGCCTAAATGCCCCAAACAGACCACTGTGGTACACGCGTGCACGCCCAGCCACTCCTTCCAACTGCATTCGTCGCCTCACTAGGTCTAAAGGAAATGTCACTACATCAAGGTAAGATGCATGTCACACTTTGCCTCATTTTCATAAGTTTGTCATTATTAAATAAGTGGTTGTAGATTATTAATTATTCAATCATTACCTGTAGATGATGCGATTCCCGAAAGACTTCCGCAAGTAAGACTAATGAGAAGATTGGGATCATCAGGCCTAAGAACGAGAGGTTGGTGAATAACCTTAATAACCACTAAAAAGAGAAGATAGTGTTTATATGATGAGATGCTGTCTCAGAATTATTAATCTCACACACACTCACCTGTGAGCTAACCACTGAGATCTCAAAGATTCATAAACAGAGAAGCTTATTGCTATACTAGGTCCAACACTCTGTACTTCATCAAAAAAACAAGAGTGACATTCAATGAATCAGCTTTTAGTACAAGTAATACTTCAATAAAGAAAAGTCAGTTGGCAATTCATAGGCGTGTGTATACCAATAATGTTGCTCCAAGTCCTTTATACAGCCCAAAGAAGCCCTCATCCCTACAGATGGTGCTGATGGCATGGGAAATGCCCTGATAATAAATTGTACTCCTCTACAAAGTCATAAAGAGAACCATAAGTGAACCAAATTCTCATGGTGAACATACAGTGAATGGGTGGTAAGAATAACAAGTACACGCTTGAAGTTTTGGTGTACGCTCTTCGTATGTATGTTAATCTTTTCTAGATGAACCATAAGTCCGTAACACAAGAACTCCTAAGTCTCTCAAATCTCATTTGGATTCAGGGTATGATGCAAATCCATGTTAATTGAAAATATAATGTAAATTTCCAAAATTTATTTCTGATGATTAGTCATGATTCTTATGTGAATGATCTATGATATCCACATGTATACCTAAAAGGGAAGAGCCAGGGACCAGGGTACACACAAAAACCATAAAGCTTATGTTGTACGGTTATACCTGTGCTGCCAACCTTGTTCTGACAAGATCCAAAGGGTAGGTGGCACAGGTAGCTGTCATTCCAGCTAAACCACCACCTACAAAATGCACAAGTACATCTGCACTAGCATGTCTCTCATTACCATACAAGCCTGGAATAGATTTCAGGATCTGCAAAATGCAATAACTCGGGTAAGATGAAAAGAGGTACTGTATTAACTATCCTGTTAGTGAAAATATGCCACATTTTACCCACTTTCTTATAGTGTTCATAAGCGTAAAAGTTGACTGAAGAATACGGAAGTCTGTGAGCAATAGTGACAAGATTTCCCTTCCAGAAAGCTCTGAATCCTTCTTCATTTACAATCCGCAAAGCCTCACGGAATATACTTGGTCTACTTAACACTGCCACATCCGAATGCATGCCTTGGACCTAAGATTTTAAATTTTTCAAAAAGAACACAAAAATATGAGATTCTGAGATAAGGGAACACTGTTAATCTTATAACTTATAAGTGAATGATCATTTTAGGACCCTTCAATTCACTATTAATTTTTAACTATTCAAGGGAAAAAATAATCATGAACTGTTAGCTACACATTCATTTAATGGACTGAAAGGAGATCAATAAGAATAAGATATTAGGATCTCAGGCAGAAAATTGATCAAATAGAAATACTGGTAATAACCCCAGTCATGGTTGTCATTGGCGACAGTCCCGCCAAGGCATTTGTCCATGGCTGTGGAGGATGGCGCATATATTGGGTCACCACATGAAACATCTAGATTGATGTGTTCTGGTCTGGAACTAAAACTAGTCCAAGTAAAAAACATCCTAAATTTATGATTCAACCTCCAAAAGATGCAAAAAAAAGTTGAATGCCCACATTCTAACCAAAACATGTGAAGTTGAAGTAGTTTAGAGAAGCTCCAAAAAATAAATTTATATAAAAAAGTTTCAGACCTTTTAAAATATGCCAACTTGTTTGTGTTTGATGATTATGATCTTTTGGAATTAGGGCTTGGATGTTGTTGTTGTTGTTGTTTGTGTTTGATGATTATGATGTAATCATCATCAATTATCACACTCATCATCATCATCATCTGGACATGAATCTGATTAATTTTATCCTCATTAATTGCATCTCAGAAGGATCTTCAATCTTGTCCGTCTCATCTTTGTCTTGTAGCTGATGTGATGTGCTGTTTCCCTTTAGTCGTTCCATTCTTGTGCAACTTTCTGGCTCTGTCTTTAAGTTATTCAAGCAATTTTTCTTGCTTTATGTTAGCTAGTGTATTTATGTACTCCTTATTAGAGTTATATTAATATTATAGGCAGAGTGGATTGTTAATTAATTATTAGGGTTAAAGCCCAAAAGTACCTGAGTAAACCTATTAAATTATGTTCAAAAATATGGCGCACATATGGTGCCACCACGTGTAGAGTCGTTGCCATGAGGGATATTTGTGGTGAGGCACCACATGTGCCCACCATATTGCGCCATTGACAACTATGAACTATGACACCATTCAACATGTAAATCAGTAAATCTATGTTCTACTAATCAGCACCTAGTCCTTCCTATGCCTTAAACTCACTTGCCAAGCGCTTCTTAGAATAAAGTCAATAGGTGCTACATAAAGGGAAATACTTATATATTTGGATCAACTAAGACATAGAAATAGAAAATAAGTCCAATACCAAGAACTGAGCTTGTGCACACACACATTTGGATGTGCATAATATTTATATACAAACACAAGAGAGGCGTTTCTGAAACTATGAAAAAGCATTTATTAGTAAGAAGACAGATTTCAGGAGTGAAAAAGCTAAACAAACAACTAAGGAGTATTTCTCTAGTGAGAATAGAAACAGAGATAATCAACTGAAAAAAAACATCTAGAACCCATTAATGAATAGTGAATACTGATACATAATTGCGACAGGTTGGTTTTTAAATAGAGCCATATCCGCCCTCGCTGCCACCCCCACCCCCGCCAAACTAGAAAGACACAGTTTCACAGAATCACAGCGTTCCATCTTCCATAAGCCGTTATATATATACAAATCCAGTGACACAATAAATTGGAAAAGTGGCTTTAACTAATATTTGGAGTGATATTTATCTTGATAGAGGTAATAAATAATATAAATCGTTTGTAGTGTTAACTTTAAATGAATTAACAAGGTGTTCACTATTAACCTGAAACAGAATCGTGAGACGAGCTAAGGGGGCAGTGCATGTCTTGCTGAAAGCTCCGGCAATACCACCGGCAAGAAGCTGCGGCACAGTTCCGATTTGCGTCTGCGAATTCTGTGGGTGCTGGTGCGTGTGATACTGGTGGTGTTTCAGACGCTGGTGGTGGTGCTGCGGCAGAAACGACCCGCCCTCTGCAACGCTGCCGCCGCGAGCTGACATCCCCACTCTGGCTTCCATCCTTTTTTCTCTGCAATATTGGTAATCTGTAGAAACTTCACATTTGATCATAGATTAGAGGTTCGTTTTGATGGCGGTAAGATAAACCCTAAGGACGAGGGGTTTGTAAAACATCTTAACTACTGATGATTTTAAGAAAAAGGAAACAAAACGGTGGATATTCCTTTTTTATTACTATGTTCGTCTTTTATTCTTGGGGACAACGTCACATTAAAGGGCCTGGGCTGAGTAGATAGTTTTAGGAGGCCGTCAACCGCAACCTCATCCGTCAATAAATCTAATGTTTCACCTGTTTAAATGTATTCACTTAGTCAATTCAGTTTTTCTCTACAACCTAGCACCGTCAATATATCCACACAGCACATATTTTTTTAATTAAATGCATAAATCCTATTTTTTTGCGTATCACTTATGTGATAATTTTATTTTTACCGATAATTATTATTTAAAAAGTAAAACATTCCGATGTAAAAAAAATAAAAAGTGTGAATTAATTTTTTTTTGTATTTAAAACCAACTTGGATTCAATTTAAAATAAATTTAAAACAATTACATTTCATCTAACACTTGATCAGTTGATCATCCTTACATTTTACAATTTGGGTCAGTTAAGCCTTTTTCATCCGCAAGCCAAGCGGTGAACGCCCACACAGCAACACCAACCATTCCTTTCCTTCCATGTGTCAGTCAAATCAGCTCCAGCCAGAGTCAATTGAGACCTCGGTATACAATTTGTAGTTCGGGTTGCAATTGTCTTGGGGGTGAAAACCTTATATTTGGGGTTTTCACTCCCCCCCATTGCAATCAGCCTAAGCTCACCGTTGGAATGAGAAGGCCATTTGTTCTTGTGGAAATTACCCATATAGTTAATTTTGTGTCCCACATATCATTTACGTCCCATTTATTTCTTCTTTTCATTTTTGATCTATTCTATTTTCAATAAGGTTTTATTATTTCAATTTTAGACTTTTATTTCAATCGAGAGACGCAAAGTGGAACTTGTCATTGGAAGGCTTCGAGAGTGAGAGTTCCAACTCTATTCTAAGAGAAGGAGATCTGTGACACCGCACTCAAACGTCCTTGAAATTCAATTTAAAATTCAAAGTTTATGTATTGAACTTCCTATTGTCAAACGAGTGTAAAACGATTAATGATTTATGTAATGCATGTTTGACCATTTTACCGTTTGAGCATGTATATTAGCGATGGACTTTCAATATTTAATTGGGCCATCTTATTAGATATAAGAGCACAATATTTTGTAAATAATGATACATAACTTTCAAGACAAGTTGAGGAAGGTTGGGGAGCCCAAACATTATTTTGGGCCCAACCTGCTAAAAATAGTAAGTATTCAAGAATGACGTTCTAGGCCCACTCGAGGGTGACCCACACGGCTAGTAGCCAAGCAATATGAATATTAATGTCATAAATAATTGATAGGATGATGAGAGAAGAATACAAATGCCTATGATCTCATATTTGACATTATTGAGCTAAATAATGGGAGTAGGTTTTCCTTCTATAATATTCATCATGTAAATTATTGGGATGATCCTACACATATTGGAGATCAATAATATGATGTAGGGAGTTGACTTGGTCTACATAAATTATAATGAGTACAAAAATACATCTTATGACAAAGATAAAACAACAGGACTCATCTTTCCATTTTTGGAAGTATTGGTAGATATTTCCGGAGAGAAGACTTGGTTCGTGCTTCCTCCATTCTGTTTCAGAACATTAATAAACATGTTCATGGATATTTTACTTTAGAGCCTGTGTGCTCATGTTTGCCCCTTGTGGCATTTGATTTCAAACTATGTTTTCCGCTGCGTATTGAATTGCTTATTATGTATGTTTATGGATGACTTATGTGTGAATGATATTCATGACGCCTTGTATAATATGAATGTGGTTGACTATGGTTGACTATTCGTATTGTACGACGGGTTGTTGACGTGTCTAGGTAGGTCCGGGGCATGACAAGATTCCCTGGAGCAGCATCAGGGGCGGATGATCCGATTTGTATATAGAAATTGTGTCCTCTATCATCCACAACCTGGTTTGGAATCTGGGAGGATGTTTTCAGGGTCAGAAATTAAGAAATCTAGAAAATGGTGCGTACATTTATTGTTCATGCGCAGCTACTTTGGGCTCGATTCTTGAATTCCGACATTTGAATCTGTAATATGAGGGTGGTTTGGGGTTCTACACTGCTGGATGCACCTCCCACACTTGCATCGGTGGGTGACGACATCGGTAAGCGTGAAATGCGATTAATATTCACTGTTGATTTGAGTTTCAGGTTGTTCTTTAGTTTTAAATGCTTTAAATCAAATTTAATGGATGGTTTGAGACTCACCTGACTTAAACGAGCTCACGGATGTAATGGATGTCCATTGAACAAAAATGGCACATAAAAAACTAATGACGCGAAAATCCCTCACCAGGGCTTTCCAATAATTGCAATGTGGCTTGAGATCTTACTTATGATTACGGTGCCCTTGAGTCGGCCCTCAGTGGAGAGATAATGCAACTTCATCACCAAAAGCACCACTAGGCTTAAGTCGCAAACTACAATAAGGCGTTGGAGCAGCTTGAAGAGGCCATTAATAAGGGCGATGTGTCCACCTCTGTCAAATTGCAGTCTGCCATCAAGTTTAACAGTGGAGGATGTGTAAACCATTCAATTTTCTAGAAGAACATTGCTCCTGCTCATGAAGGAGGAGGTGATCCTCCAAAAACCTCTTTGGGTTAGGCTATTGACACTAATTTTGGCTCCTTATATGTCCTGATTCAAAAACTGTCTGCAAAAGGTGTTGCTCTACAAAGTTCTGGCCGGGTGTTGCTGGGTTTGGTCAAAGAACTGAAGCACCTTGTTGTAGAAACACTTCAAACCAAGATCCATTGGTTACTAAAGGACTAATCCTAGTGCCCCTCCTGGACATAGATGTTTGGGAACACACATACTCTTACAGTACAAGAACACGAGACCAGCTTACTTGAAGAACATATGGAAGGTTATAATCTGGAAGTATGCAAATGACGGTGATAATAAGACTAGGAGGATCAATGTGAAAAAGAAAACAAAAGAGATCTGAGGTAGGGGTGTTAACGAGCCGAGCCGAGCCCGAACACCTAAAGCTCGAGTTCGGCTCGATAAGGAATTAATGGTGTTCGGGTTCGAGCTCGAAGCTCGGCGAGCTTTACATATGAGGCTCGTGTTCGGCTCGATAGGCGTTCGATGTTCGAAGCGAGCGCTCGTTAAGCTCGATAAATATGGTCGATTTTAAAATTTTAGGTGATGCTCGTTAATGGGCTCGTGCTCGAATGATTCGACAAGTATTCGCTTCGTTAATAAACATATTTAAATGCTTAAAATCATACTAATTATATTTAAATTGTTATTATATACGTAGTATAAATTATATTTATAATTTCAGGGTGTTCGATAGGCTCGAGTTCGAACCGAGCCTAATACTACTATGTTCGAGCTCGGCTCGATTAATATTTTGAACTTAAAACTCAGCTCGGGTTCGAGTTCGAAAGCTCATTAAGCTCGGCTCGTTAGGTTCGAAACCGAGCTCGAACTCGAATAGTTCGATAAAAGCTCGGTTCGTTAACAGCCCTAATCTGAGGAACTATGTATTAATTAATATGTATAAAGAATATGATAAGAAGTAAAGTCAAATAACATTTTCAATTAATGTAATAAATTGAATCATATATTTATTGTGATAGTTTATTTGTGTTGCTTTTTGTTGCATTATATGTGTTTCTTTTTGTTGCATTATGTTTTTTGTTGTTGCATTGTATTGCTTATGGTTGTTTATAGTTGAATTTGATTTTAGTTGTTTATTTAGGTTCCTACTTATCTTTGCTACTTATTTGAAATTAAAAAAAACATTTATTGATATACAATCACTTAAATTGATAAATTTCGATCAATGAATATCAACAATAAAAATTGAAGACAAAATATAAAAAAATGCAAAATTTGCAACAAAAATAAACATAAAGAAACACAAAGCAACAACACCCAACAAAAGATAACAATAAAAATATAATAAAAATTAAACTATGTAGTTCCTTAAAAAATTAATAAAAAAAATATTGTGTGATCTTTTCAAATATTTTACGTTTTTTTTTTTACTATTTTTAGTTATTTACATTTATTATTCAGGTTTTGTGCTTTTCTCCCCGATTTCTGGAATTATTACCTTTTCTGAAATTTTTAATACTTTTTTACAATTTTTATTTCTAGTTTTTATTTTATTTTATATTCTTTTTCATTTTTATTTTTTTTTAGTTTTAGTCTTCTTTTTGAGTTTTTAAGTTTTCCCTTATAAGCAATGTTATTTTACTTTTATTAAGTTTTCCGATTTTTTCATTTGTTCAACATTTTTATAAATTTCTTCATCTTGGCTTTCTAGTTTTGATTTCAAATAAAAAATTAAGTAATTTTGTAGTTTCTTTTTATATTTTGGTATCACAAATTCACAAGAAATAAAAAACTTACTATTATGTATTTTAAGCTTTTATGGATTTAAAAAGAAATACATATTTTTATATTTTGTTTGATTGGAATGTTTGTTACAATTATTTTCAGCTTATGAAGCTTATAAAATTTATATTTTTCCAATGTTCCCAAATATTTACAGCATTTTTATGTTTGAACAATTTTCCTTCTTTTAATTATTCAGGTGATGAAGTGATAGTGTACAGCTATAAGTTTACGTATATGGTTTATGGTTAAGGGCCATAACTCTATAAGGCATTAGGGGCTTAAGGCTATTTTTAGGAAAAAAATCTTTGCTTAGTCTATTTTTGAAAAAAAAAAATCAAGAGTGACAAAAATAATACTCCTATCTGTCCCAAAGAACTTTGCCAAGTTTAACCGACACAGTGATTAATAAAGTAAAAACTGTGTGTTTGAGGTTTGTGTAAAGAAAAGAGAATTAACTGGAACCACAAATTTTTCACTTAAAAGGAAAAGTGACAAAATTAGTGAGACAAAAAAAAAAAAGAAAAAGAGAAGTTGGAACAATTTTAAGGGATAAATGGAGTATTATTTTTTTCAGTCTATTTGTGAAAAATCCCTTTGTTCTTTAAACATTGTTTAGAGAAACCCTAGTTTT